CAATCTAAGCTCTTCTTTCCTTAGATGTTAGATGTGCTTGCAAAGAGAGCCACATTTCACACTGAAGGGTGTGTACGACATCAGTAATGTTATGTCAATTCCAAGAATGTTTCAGGTTATATCGGTTGATGAGGAATTTACTGATTAGGCCTATAATAGCAAATTACATCAATTTATTTTGTAAAAACAAGGTTTCCAGCTGCAGAGGTGGGGGTGGGGGGGGGCACATCCCGCACAAGGGAACACATTGGCGTTAACACCAGGCGCGTAACAGGGGTATTGGGTCAGAGTGGGTATTTATTTTCCCGGTTAGTAATTTACCATACCCACCCCGCCCCACTCCCCATATAGTAAACAATACGACATAGGGCTTATCTTATCTATAATACTGTATAGGCCACACACGTGTGTTTGAAACTAAATATAAGCATTTTCATCATGGTTTTATTTATTACAAACATATTCTTAACAAGCATACAAAATATCCAAACACGACTATGGTGCTAGCGATCCCGTAGGGCCTATTAGTGATCGTCACGTGTTCGACGCCACCGCAGCAGAATCTGAAGAAAACTAAATGGGACATCAAGGTACTTTGTATCTATGTATTCACTGTAAAGATGTATGTTATGTTGACGCTTGACATTATTTTCCTTAAGGTTTGTGACCTCACGCATAATTTTCAAAAAATACCCAATCCGTAAAGCAAATCCAAAGACATCTAAAGCAAGCCATTTGAGACCCTTGACAGACAGGTCTGTATGATATATAATGGTTTGCCATGTATTTAACCTGCGTATATAACCTGTATTTAACTGGGCGCGTATATAACCTGTATTTAACTGGGCGGCAGAGACACATTCTGTATGTTCATATTGAATCAAGATGATAATATTGTCAACAACATGTTTATATACATATTGAAACTAAGATATATGGCGCCAATTCTCACATCAACATGTGATGCTTCGCTGCCACTCCTGTCTCTTATACACATCTTAAATGAGTACGGTAATTGCATACGTATCCTTTTAACATGAATCGATAAATCCCAAAAAGAATGGTCCGGTGTTGTCTTCCCGGGAAAAAATAGGAACAATTGCATAGGCCTACGTAGGCCTATTCTTTTTACATGAATCGACAAATCGCAAAAAGAAATGGGGGTCCGGGGAATTCTCTCTCTGGAAAATGTGAGCTTCTAAATGGCGGGAAATGAGCTTCCCCGACTTCTGAAATGTCTTTTAATGTTCTTCAAAATGCAAGGTTCTCCCCTCTTGAAAATGATCAGGTTAATTTTTCTTATTCTTATTACAGTAAATAGGTCTACCGGTATTAGGCCTAGGCCTAGGTATTGTTTTTTCCATGAATCGATGAACCCTAAAAGGGGCGTTCGAGAGTCTTCCGCCGAGAAAATTTTTATTCCTAGATGGCGGGAAATGAGCTTTCCCGACTTCTAATTTTCTTATTGTAACAAAAAAAATTTCAGCTCACGGGTCTTGAAAAGGTACCGGTAGGTCTAGATTTTTTTTTCTTCGGGGGAAGGGTCAGGATTCCTGCTCCAAGTTGCATTTATTTCTTAGGCTTTCCGAAATCTGCATATATAGGCCTACATTATATATTTTCTGCCAAAATTTCTGCCCCCCCCCCTGTCCCGCCGGCCATGTAGCGGCCCTCACGCGAGGCTTATATATTCTTAAATTATATTTTTTTAATGTGCTATTCTCAAAACAAGCATACAAAATATCCAAACACGACTATGGTGCTAGCGATCCCGTAGGGCCTATTAGTGATCGTCACGTGTTCGACGCCACCGCAGCAGAATCTGAAGAAAACTAAATGGGACATCAAGGTACTTTGTATCTATGTATTCACTGTAAAGATGTATGTTATGTTGACGCTTGACATTATTTTCCTTAAGGTTTGTGACCTCACGCATAATTTTCAAAAAATACCCAATCCGTAAAGCAAATCCAAAGACATCTAAAGCAAGCCATTTGAGACCCTTGACAGACAGGTCTGTATGATATATAATGGTTTGCCATGTATTTAACCTGCGTATATAACCTGTATTTAACTGGGCGCGTATATAACCTGTATTTAACTGGGCGGCAGAGACACATTCTGTATGTTCATATTGAATCAAGATGATAATATTGTCAACAACATGTTTATATACATATTGAAACTAAGATATATGGCGCCAATTCTCACATCAACATGTGATGCTTCGCTGCCACTCTAGCGTCACACAGAATCTTATCGTCCGTTTATGGTTTGTGATATAGAAATACGATAATGTGGCATTATTTGATTACTTAACCATGCCCCATTTTTATCACCAATATGCACATCATGAATAATTGAGACTGCAAGATAGACTGACAATGAATACTCTTTGTCAGTCTGTACTGGTAGGCCTCACTATTACTGTAATTCAAGATAAAACTATCTGTATGAGATAAACTAGATAAACCAAGTTGCTCTGTTTTCGTTGGTGGCGCACTTATAAGTTGCTGCTGGCCGGTAAATAAACAAGATGCGGCGCACATTTCACAACAAGAAGTAATACAAATATTTCCAAAATGTGGTCTCATCCAGCTCCTGTCTTTTGTCAACCTGAATAAATTTGGAAGTCAGTAGATTTTGTGGAAATATATTTATAGTTCTAGGCTATGTGTCTGTGTGTTGTACTTTAAAATAAGGAGGCCTCGAAGGCCTGACTTAAGCCTAGGCCTAGTGAAAAGAAGTGCGTTACATACTCAGGACGGGGAAATCCCAGAGTGAATGTGCAATAGAGTACATTGGGAACAGCTGTTTGAGCAGACATTTAAACCTTCTTGTGGCCTAAACTAGGATAGGGCATGGCTTAACGTAGGCCAAAATTGTTTTGTTCCCATTCTTTCCTTTATAATATTGTTTTTTTGTCCGTTCTTATTAATGAATAAAATAAAATATTTTTCTTTCTAGGCCCAATTCGGCCCTAATTATAACTTTAATATAATAACGTTATTAATTAATGATTCCGGCAACACAATTAAATAGGCATATATGCTTAGGCCTGCACATCTATAAACAAGTTTGTTTGGTAGAATTCAAAAATTTATTTCTACAATATACATGTCAGCTTTATAATAATTATTTCTTTAGATAATTTCAATGTTCTTAGTTAAGATCAATATCATTGTTATCAATATCATCGTTTATTTTAAATGTGCTTAATTGTATTTTATTATTATGTCAATATGTTTTTGTGTAAGCCTTGGAAAACAAATTCCATAAATGTATTTCTATAAATGACAATAAATAGAATCTTGAATATTGAAATCGGAAATTTTGCCTGAGCTTTTACCCCAACTATTCTATACAACATTAAAGGACCTTCATAATCATACCAGATGGACCCTAGACATAAGTCCTCTAACTTTCTTAAGTTATGGTTTGGTGTTTTCACACCTACAAAAAAAAAACAATCTTATCCAGCCTACTGTATTATTTTATAGTAAATTTTCAGTGAAAGTGTATTTCCAGGCAGACCTAAGCACACAAAGAATAATTTCCACTCGAGCATTCCCCAAATTTGTATCAATTCCTTGATCTAGCACAAAGGATTTTCCATTGTCCCCCAATATGACCCAGAACTATTTCCATTCCCACACGATTTTGGTCTAAGCAGAAGGTCATAATGCCTACTGTTGGCATCTGTTAAAATCTTGTATACACATTAAGTAAAGCCTTGTCAATAAAGGCCATCTACTTTTCCTTTTCAATTGAATTCAGTGACTGATCCTGAATGAGATCAAGTTCCACAGGGCTTTAGCAATCATGTTTGCTAAGCTCATAGTTTGAAGGTAGAAACCTTCCTTGTAATGTACGTTACCAAAGGATGATAGAATTATAATGAGATGTAAGAATTTAAAGTGCAATTATATAACAAAACATAGTTTATAATCATTGTTCCTTGTTTGCTCTTCAGCGTGCTTGTATTGAGAAATGCCTTTGCCAAGACTCACTGGTGCACTGCGTGCATTCTCATCCGTTTCGGCTGAGGAAAGTTATGCAGATTCATTGGGAGTAGACTTGGTGACTAAACGGCAAAGCCAGGCCGAGCACACATACGAGGATGGTGTAACATGGCAGAAGTTGAGGACATCTTTGGAGAAGACAAGAAATGTTAGTCACGAAGTAGTTGATGGCTTGAGGGAGTTGGCTGAGATCACCAGGGAGTTTGGTAGGAGTTTAATTTATATAAATGAAAAAATATCCAATTGTCTGCTAATAGTTTAAAGAAGGTTATATAGTTATAGTAATTAATGATTACAGTACTGATAAAAATATTTATAAAAATCATAAAGATATGGTGATACTGTAGTATTAATAATAATAGAGCACTTGTTTATATGCCTGGCCAAGACATATACCAGGCCCATTACCAAGATTCCTTAAGGGAGGTGGGAAGGAGAGGGGAGGGGTGGAAGCAAGAGCTGGGGCAGAATCCAGGGGGATTCACAGGGACTTTTCCCCCCTCCCAGAAAAAATGAGAAGAAAGGAAAGGAGAAAGAGGGAAGCATGGTACTCCAAAACAGCAGTTTTTAAAATTAAATTCCATGTATCAGTGTCTATGGTTGAGTATTTCTAAACAAGAATCTGAAACACTACCCTTACCCCTGTTTGGTGTTTTGCACATAGGATTCCCCCTACCAAGATTTTTCTATAGATCTGCCTCTGGGGAGAGGGAGGTTACTTATAAGAATCAATTTATCTTCTAAATTTGTTTAGGTCTCAACAGAGACAAAGCTATTTAACTGTTTTTCTAACATGGTGAATTATGTCTTTTGTCAGTTGGATTTGATGCTGGAACAACTCTGGTTGACAGTATAGCTGTGTTTCTTTTCGAAACCTTGAAGGACAGCGAAAGAATAAGTCAGAAAGAATCTTTAGCTATCAAGAGAAAACTAGGCCCTTTCCAAGCGTCAGTAGCAACCAAAGCTTGCAACATTGTCCAGTCGATTGTGAAGCATGTACCAGAGAAGATATTACAGAACCTCTTTGAAAAAAAATGTAATAATCTCAAAGAATTTGGTGAGAACATCCATTTCTCGTATGACCAGCAGACACATGATTTTGCATTGAATGTAGAAGAATCTGACGACGAACCAATCGGATTTGATTTTGATATGAAATATGATGTTAATAATTCTACGAAACCAGCCAAGGCTTCTGCCGCATCAGCATATGACTTAAAGTGGTTGAGGTCGCAGGTTAAGTTTTTCTTCGGAGGTGATGATATTACTTCAGTTGGGCTGACTGCCGATGACCTTTGCGCCAAGATCCTAAATGATCTTAAGTCATCTAGTACCAATGATGAACTGCAAGATGTTGTAAGTTGTTCTTGTTCTTGGCATTGATTATTTTATCTCAACTTTAAAATTATTTTATGCAAACCAACAATGCTATTTTTACATTTTGTTTGTCGCATTTTATCTAGTAAATAGATCAACATTCTGTTTTCTATTTTTATTAATATTATTTTTATTATTGTTATTATTATCATCTTGTTAACTTTTGATAATGAATCTGTGGATGCTAAATTACTGTTGTCATCGGCATCGGAGAGCCACTAGGCAGTCATTATTTTACTTTTTGGCAATCCTGTCCAGCCAATTGAGTGTTTTTTCCCCTCTCTTTTATTTTGTGTTTCTCGGTTTTATTTTTCTATGGAATAAATACAGTAAATGGAGTGAAAAGAAAAATGTGGATTATTTAATTGATTATTATAAGCAAATTTAAGGGTCCATGCAAATTATGCAAATTATTATTTATGCATATGATCATTTTAAGACCAACAAATTTAGAATTACTGTTATGGATTTCAGTATCAAGAAGAAATTACAATTTGACATATCAGGTAGATATAACACTGAAAATATACATATATGGTTTTTAATTATTTTCTTCTTCTATTTTTAATTTACGACTAATAACTTACTACAAATATACAGAGTAAACAAGTTTTTTTTTTTAGCTGAGCACTCTATATCTTTAATCAATATTTGTGTCCTAATTGCAGCTTTTTGGATTTCTGGGATTTGAACGCTTTGAATTCATCCAGAATCTGCTCATCAACAGAAAGCACATTGTCGAAGGAAGCAATGAGATGCTCACAAAAAGAGGTGCAATTTTTAAATACTTTTAACTTTTTAATATTGAACTGAAAAAAGGCTGTAAATTGATTTTCTGCTAATTCTTTTGCATGGAAATTTTTTCCATTCTAACTTCAATGACAATGATAATATCCCATGTTGTTTTTACGTCAGGAAAAATAATATGAATGAATTTTTGCCCTTCCTGACATGTTATAGTACTGAGCAGAATGTTCAGTATGTTCCCAAATACTTGCGAAAAAATCTTGCAGGTGATTCGGGTGGGAATTGAACCCACAACCTCCATGTAACTAGCCTGGTGTCTTAACCACTCGACCACCAAGCTTGCGATTGATGGCTAGTGATGAATCCAATCCCCAAGTAGCAGTATGTACTGCGATGCTTTCCGATGTCGTTTTTGCGTCAGGAGAAATAATATGAATCAATTTTTGTTTACGACAGTATATAAAGTAAGTATAATTAAAATGTTAAATTTGGTGTTAGTTCAATAGTTAGATAAAAAATAATTATTTCAATATATCTTTTTTAGTTGTGAAGGAAGACATACCAGTGAGACCAAATTATGGGGCACAAGTAACAGTCCAGGTAAGAAGGATTGGTTATCCAGATTGCAGGGTCCAGGTCAAAGTTTGCATGAATAATAACAATTATTAGTCACTATTTATGTTGCAATTTAGATTTTGACTATCTTACAATTATCTAGATAGACACAGACTATTACAGGTTGTTTTTTGTATGAATACTAACAATAAGCTTAGCAGGAAATCAGGAAAGATTTCCACTTACCTTGAACATAATTTTTATAAGCTATCACACGATTAGGACATTGTGAAAAACAGTTTCTGCCAGGAAGGGTTAGTTGGTCTAAGGTTAGTTTTTAAAACATAATAATTGCGCACATATTTAAAAAAAATATTTGAAATTTTGCTTTTTTATATTTCATACTTTTAATCTCATAATTAAGTCTAAGTAATATATTTTATGTTAATAATTGCATATAAATTTTAAAAATATATGTACTTTTTTCTCTTTTATGTTATTTTTTATTAAAATTTACTTTTTTTTGCTTTTTATTTATATTTCTTTTTATATTTTAAACAACCTGCTTGTTGCCACATCCTGGCCCATGTCCTGGCCCATTGTGGATTATACAGTAGGAGTTAACACATTTTGAGACTGGATAAAATTATATATCTCGTTTCAGACAAATGTTTTACAAAACAATGTACATATTAGCAATATGAATAATAATCTGCTTGGAGGATTGTGTCATCTGGTTCTATATGCTAATAATCATTAATGTATTTAGACTGATTTGTTGACCCATATTATATTAACAGTAAGTAGACATAAGTGGTTCACAATGGATGTGTTAAATGTAATTGTGACTTCTGTTGACGCAAGGTTTTGCAAGAATGAATAATAAACAAATCATGGTTTGAAGCTATCATAAAACACAACACTTTTGACAAGTGAATTTGGTAAAAATAGTTCATTAGATCTAGAGATTGTGCAGAGATTTTGAAGGATTTGCTAATAATTTAATAACTATTATTATTATTATTATTATTATTATTATTATAAAATGATCATCATCACTCTCTGTTTTCATATTCGTCATAATATTTACTGTTATCATTAGCATCATTATCACTGTCATCATTATCATTAATAACCAATAAAAACATTATCATCACCATGTTTTTCCATAAAGCATTTACTCTTGTTCCTAAAATATATTGAATTATGATATTTTCAATTTATGATGATTATTATTAATCAAATTTTCATCACCAGTATCATCATCACTTATTGTTATCATTTTTGTCATTGTCATATTTCGTGTTATTATCATAATTAGAATCATTATCACTGTCATCATTATCATTGTCACTGTCATCATTAATAACCAATAAAAACATTATCATCACCATGTTTTTTCTAAAAAGCATTTACTCTTGTTCCTAAAATATATTGAATTATGATATGGTTTTTTTAATAGCACTGCAACATTCAAAAACATTTCATTAATTTCAGAAAGAAAAAAAAAACAACATGAAGAGAAAATTAGTACAAATATTCTTGTAGAAATTAAAAACTAAATAAAAATATAATTCAATCAAACAAGGAGACACACAAGGGGTTTGGAATGTGGTAAAATGATTGTTTTTTAAGGATATTACAAAAGTATGAGCACACCTACACAAAACGTCTAGTCTTCCTTTCCTTTAAAACGTAATAAATATTAATATTGGGAGACAAGGAAGCAACACGTTTAGGAAGCAAAACATTAATAACAAAATTATACGTAAAAGGTGCACTTGGTCGGCTGCCATTCAGCCCCGAACTTGAACAAATGCCAAGGATGCATTTAATATGGGTGTTAAAGGAGTTTTTTTATGCTTCATTTCATACTATTATAAAATACTAAATTGTTGCACACAGTCATAGCCATATTATTATTAAATTTATTGCATCTGATTTTAAGAGGTTAATTTTTTACAGCCATGTCTAAATTAATAACCGTTTAGATTGCTTAACGTCATATCAAGCGAGACTCATGTTCCACTTCGGGTCATTAAATTTATGTTAAACTTATTTCATAGATAATAAATATTACCTAACTCTGTGAAACATGAGAGGTTGTAGACAAGCGCTTCTGGCCTGAGTAGGGGCTTCCTGATGTACATACATAACACCTTTATCTCCCTTCTGCATGACTTAAATGTTATGTTCGTTCTTATCATAGACAGCTCATTCTAGTGCCTCAACTTTTGCTCTTATTACACCAACGTCTCATTAAAGCGAGTCTCATTACCTTAATTCTCTACTGCTGACACCTGATAGAGAGCTTAGTGTGTGTTTTCGGGGCAATAACTGTCACAAGGCTTTCATATACTTCAAAATGATATCCATTCAAATTGGTTTCTTTATTTTCATTCATTTTCTATGTAAACTCTACATTTGCACAAAGGACAACACTAGACATCCAAATAAGTTGATTTGCTGACACTATATGGGCCTAAGAGTTTATATTTTTTACATGTATTGATTTTTATATACTTATTAATTTTACATTATCTTTTACATAATATCATTAATTATATAAAATATCTCTTTGGAGATTCTCATGTTTAAATACCTAAGATGGGGGCATATCATATTGATCTCTATCCCATGCAGTGGCGGGGGCTTGACCTGTCTGGTGAGGGTCTTGAGCCCCCGCTGCCCCCTCCCCCTGCTGGCGCCACCACTGATCCCATGTGAGTACCTACAGTGCTAGTACTCTTTATATCAGTGAGATAGTGGACGGAATTACTTCCAACTGGATTCGAATCTACCACAAAATCCCAGTGGTCTAGATGCTTAAGACATTTGGCATATCAAGCAGAGACCTGGTTCAAATTTTCCCATCTTTACTGGTTACAATATCTGACAGGTGTATTTTCCGTATATATCTTTACAGTCTTCTAAGGAGAAAGCATTGTCTCGTCAAATACGCAGAGATGAGAAGAAGATTGCGAGAAAAGAAGGCAGAGGAAAAAATGCTGAAAATAATGTAGAAGATGTTGAGGAAGATTTTAATCCACAATATTTAAAAGCCGAAAGGTAAATACACTATTTTATAGTATGACATAATATATATGTATTGATTTACCATATTTATTCAAAAAATGCCATGCTTTCAATAAACACCCTTTCAGAGTCACATTTGGAATAAATGCCCAGAGCTTTTATTTTTTTCCACGAATAAATATCCCTTCCCCCTCAAATAAAAGTGCCCCTCAAAAACCATTCTCAACAATAAGAGCCCTGGGGTGTTTATTCAAATAAATACGGTAATAGTATTCATTGATTCACACAAGATGATGGTGTTTTTTAATGAATAGTAATAAATATAGTAATAAATGCTCGGATTACACAACATAGATACTTGTGAAAAGAAATTGTTGTTTTTGTTGAGAGTGTCTCGACGTTTCGATTGAGTTACTTCAATCGTCATCAGTAGAATAATATCAATTAAATATGTGTAACTTTCCCATATGTGGGCATGTTGATGTCTTATCACTGCCATAAATTTGCATGATAATAAAAATTGTTCTTTCGTTTTTTTTCAAATAGAGAGCGTGCATTACGAGAGGCAAAGCGGAATCCATTGCTTACTAAACGTTCATCAGCACCGCAGCAGAATGTTTATCCATATGTGTTTGATTCTCTAAAGAGTGCTCAAGCATCATCGTCATTTATTGGAGGTTCCAAGGTATCATTGTTACCATGACGCTAATTTTCAAAAAGAATAGTAATAAAAATATAAAAATAAAAGCTGCCTGTTAAGATATAAAAAAATGTTTAAAAAATTCCAATAAAACACTGAAATGCTCAAGTTATCAACACCCTGCCATCGGAGCTTAATCACACCCTATTTGGATTGGTTATTTCCAGTACAATACTTTATTTGCTCAAGGTCCTAAGATGCTCTGCCAAATAGGCTAACTCCCAACCCCCTCTCTCTCCCCCCTCACAATTGACAGACCAGTACTGTACTTTGATTTTCGCCAGTTTCATTCCTGCACCAGTTCAAAGAAATTTTAACCAGGTAATTGAATAGGTGTGCTAATACTATAATAAATGGACCATTTATAGGCATAAGGCAGCATGTCCCCTTTCTCTTATATAAGTGGTTCACTTCGGCGTCATGTACCTGTTTTGAATATGATTATATAATATAGATCAGCTATTGTTACAATTGCCAAAATTTTAAATAATAAGTTGTAGGCTGTTGTTATTTTTTTTATTCGTATTTAAAAAAAAATGTATTTCAGTATATGCTTATTGCTATTTTAATTCTTTATAATGTAAGACTAGGGTTTCATCCTTTCACTGCTTGTTAGTCAATTTGAATGAATAAAGTATACCTGAATATATTATATTTAATAATTGTGGTACACCACATAGATAGTTCTGAAAAGTTCTGTTGTTTGTTGAGACTGTCTCAACGTTTCGCATTAAATTGCTTCAATCGTCTTCAGGAGAATAATATCTGCAGACAATCCAAACAGGGAAATGTTTGGAAGACTAGCTGCTGATTGGTGAAAAACTAAACAAGCAACTCAATTGAAACGTTGAGACATTTTTTAACAAACAACAGTTCTTTTCAAAACTATCTACGTCATGTTCCGCAAGTGTTACATATATTATTACTTAGCCATGCAAACCTTTAAACAATATTATATATTATTGTTATCGATTTTATTATGATACTTGATATTTGATTTTATTGGCATGTACTTGCCATGTTATCGTTAATGTGATGTCTTTTTTTTTAAAGATGATTCTCCCCGAAGGCCACGAAAAGCACAGCAATAAAATGTATGAAGAAGTTCAAATACCGCCCTCTATGCCACCACCAACAAGCATTGGACAATATAGAGTGAAAATTGCAGATCTAGATGAGGTAAATACACCAATCAAAATGTAGGATTTTAACTTACTTGGTATAACATTTTTAGGTTACAGCAACATAGTGTTTGCTAGTGGAAACCTCTGGCAAATGTGTAAGGCATTTTGTCAGTTCATGGCTCATGAGTCTGAAACTGGCTGGGTTTATGTTCTGGTTCAGGGCACTTTATCCATATTGTCTTCCTGTACCCAGGAGTAATGAATGGTACCTGATATATTTGATTGCCAATTTGCCACTTACTGGCTGCAACATTATAGAATATTTCCCCAGGGAGCTGTATGCGTTCTGTTGGTGTTTAATTAAATAACGCGGGCAGTAATGTGAATCTGGTATTATGTGTGCTTGGATAGACATCCTCCATATCTTCTTCAAGTTTTGATACAGTTAGAAAAAAAATCATATCAATTTGTTTGGGCTGTTTTGAACATGTAACAAAATATTTTTAATACTGCGCGCAAGTAAAAAAGACAAAAGTTAACAGATAGAGCGCACTTTACAGCTTTGAGCGATTTCATTATACGAAAAGGGTAAATAAAAATGTACTTTTTTTAAACAATTGATCATTAGTGAAACGCTAATAAAAATACATTCCCAATTTATGTATAACACTGTAGAAATAAGATATGTCCGCTATCAAACATATTTTACCAATTCTTTTATATAGCAGGTACCATATTTTCTTCAGTTCAGAAAATGGAACACGCCAATTCCCTGGACCAGCCGTTAGCCCGGCATTTCTTTCTCCTTGAAAGCCTTTGATATAATTAAAAAATGACGGAAGTAAATTCAATCTGATGAATTCTATACATAAACTGATCACAAGAAAATTTGCTTTCTGTTGCCGCTTCCACCTAAGCGATCGGACTAGTGAAGGAAAAATTATGGCGTAAAGAAACCGCTGCTCATAACCCAGCTCAAACCCCACTGAAAACACACTAATAGCCTATATTTTTCATAATTGCAAACAAATATTTTGTAAATTGTTTGCAATAGCTATATTTATAACCTATAATAAACCGTTTCAACCTAATTTATCCAACCCCTAGTTTTTGAGTTATTGATTTGTAGTAAAAACTGTCAGTGTTTTTGAAAAAGTGCTAATGGCATAATGTGGACCACATATGATATGCTCAAATCACAGATATTTGTCACTAAAATGTTTATAGTGTGGACAGACCACAATGTGTATTTTTATTGCATTCTTATGTGACAGATACATTTGCCCATATATGAGTGTGATGTAATGTTATCATGCCTATATATGGGCAAATCACAGATATTTGTAACCAAAATCTTGATGATATTGTGGAGAGAACATAATCTTATTTTATTCCTTTTGGCGAAAAATACAAAAATACATTACAAATAGAACAAATTTCAAGGCAAAAATATGCATTCTTATTGCTTTACTTAAAAACAATACTGATTTATTTTCTGTACATAGATAGTGCAGTTAGCATTTAAGAATACAAGGTCCCTGAATCGTATCCAGTCTGTGGTTTGTGATGCAGCTTATTACAGCAATGAGAATCTGTTGATTAGCGCCCCCACGGGTGCTGGTAAAACCAACATCGCAATGTTAACCGTACTACGAGAAGTTAAGCAGCATATACACGATGGTGTCATCAAGAAGGATGAATTTAAGGTTACATCAATTATTCAATTTTAAGTTTAAATTAAAATAAATGTAGTACTTTATTTATTTTTTTTGTAAAAGTATTATTTAAACCAATTTCTAATGGGCAGCTTATGCTGGATTTATCAGTTGAAATGATACAAAGAAGTTAGTTTAGAAAAGGAATTATGAGTCTTATGGGTGTCAGTGGCAGTTCTAGGATACATTTTCTGAGGGGGCTAAGCTGTCCGACAGGGAGGCTTGAGCTTGTATGCCTGAGGAGGGCGGAGGGTTTGGTAGGGGTGTCCCCCTCCCAAATGAAATTTTAAAGAATCTCTGGATGGCCGGAAATGGCACTCTACGACTGTCCGACTGCCTGACGAGTTCAGACGGTGGGGGGTGGGGGCTTGACTTTTCCGATGGCTTAAGCCCCCTCCCCCCCACTTGCACCGCCACTGATGCGAGTTACAGTCTCATGATGAGGCTCATGGGATGGAGTTTTTGGTCTTCTGAAAAAATCCCAGACTAAACTCAGGACACTGAATTAAAGGAAAATATAGCCTTATAGCTCCAGCTACACTCCACCTGCTTGATGAATAATTTCATTTTCATTTCAGATTATTTATGTAGCACCAATGAAAGCACTAGCAGCGGAGATGGTGAGGAACTTTGGGGAACGGTTGTCACCCCTTGGTATTTCAGTCAAGGAGTTGACTGGTGATGTGCAGCTGACCAAAGCTGAAATAATGAAAACACAGGTAAGAATCATGGTATTTCAATGCAATCTAGGTAAACAAAAACATATATTTCAAATTGTTAGTAAGTTCAATCCTTACTTCTGTATCGAGAATACCAGACTGGACAATAATTTTTACCAAGGAGAAATTAGAGCTCTCAATATAATTTCAAACAAAGTAAAGTATAAAAACACCAGTACCATAACTTTGCAACCTCTTTTTGTACCCATATTGTATTTTTTCTTTTTATTCCTTAATACTTAAATAATCAACATCCTGGATAGATGACCCATCAAACAATTAAAATTTAATACATTTCTGTGAAAATTTCTGTGTGCATTGTAAAATATGTGTAGGCCTTTTTAAAAAGCATTACACCACAAATGTCACCCTGATTGAACAAAATTATTTTTTTGTGAACAAATGCCAGTACATAGATAAATACCATAGTAATTTTATATTTTGTCTCAGATGTTAGTGACAACCCCTGAAAAGTGGGATGTGGTGACAAGGAAGAGCACAGGTGATGTGGCATTGACCCAGCTTGTTAGGTTGTTGATAATCGATGAAGTGCACCTACTACATGAGGACAGGGGGGCAGTCATCGAAAGTCTTGTGGCCAGAACACTTCGCCAGGTAACTATATGGACCATCACAGACCATTATATTTTTTTTAAAAGTTGTATATATAATTTATAGTAAATATTTCAAATCCACTTAAATTTCAAATCCACTTTAGTACTTTTTATTATTTAAAAATATGTAATACCTTATTTTTCATTTTGTAAAACTATATACATTTTTACAAAATACAGGATCTGATCATTTTATATATTTGGATTTTTATATAGTAATTATCCTATATTTTTATAGCTATTTTTATAATTTAATGTGTAATGCTTTGGAAGTTGGAGTTAGAGGGGCACACCATTTTCCAGTGATTTGTTTTTGTACAAATTTCCCCCCTCAGCCTCCCTCTTTCTTTGTCTATGTTTATGTTTTCTTGTGTGTTGTATTGTTTGCTGAAGGAGATAAAAAAAAAAAATCTGTATGTGCTCCTGTTATGTAATACATATACTCTATATATATTTTTAAAACTTAAAATAGATTTTAAATTTAATATGTTTATATGTTATTAATATATTTACTTCAAACTACTGTATTTACAATCGTTTATGTAATTTAATTTAATTTCAGGTAGAATCTTCTCAGAGTATGATACGTATAATTGGGTTATCGGCCACTCTTCCAAACTACCTTGATGTTGCCAGGTTCCTGAATGTCAATCCATACAAAGGACTATTTTATTTCGATGGAAGGTTTCGACCTGTTCCCTTGGGTACTACGTACATCGGTATCAAGACTAACAACGTGATGCAGCAGCGACAGGATATGGATGTCGTCTGCTATGAAAAAGCTTATGAGGTTGTTAAAAGTGGTCAACAGGTGAGACAAATTAATTGTTATTATTGTTATTTAAGTAATATTGATGATAATTAAGTATTTTTTTTGATTTGTGAATATATATATATATATACACATATATACATATATATATATATATATCTTATACATATATATATATATATATGTATGCATATATGTATAAGATGGACAGTTGGTTTTTAATTTGTGTATGCATTATTGTTACTAGGTGATGGTGTTTGTTCATGCGCGCAATGCGACTGTACACACTGCGATGAACCTGGTGGAAATAGCTAAGAACCAAGGGCAGGCAGAGATGTTCAAGGCTAAGCCATCACCACAATTTGGCACTGCTCTAAAACAGGTAGGCTTAGGGGAAAATATGGTCATTCATATACAAATCAAAGCCTTTCATATACAAGTCAGACATCATTTAATTAATCCATCCACAATTGTATGTGTGTAAATGAATACTTTAAAGGGAAATCAGTTTGTACAGAGACCTAACAATGGTTATTGACAAAAAACAACTAGAAGAATCCTGCTGCCAGACCCCTACCTTTTTGCATTCTGTTCATTCCCTCTGTTTTGTTAATAGCCTTTGTACGCTGACTCACTGATAAAGTTGGCCCACTCTATCTTTGATAAAGTAGGCATACAAAGAAAATGTTTGGATAGAAATATATAGGGCATAAGCTTATCACATATTCGTGGAAAAACATTCTAATATTAGGGCTATTTTTAGGTCATGTCGACTTACAGTTTCTGATTGCAGCTCTAACTGCTATTCCACAAGTACATTCCACAAGTATATGTCTGATTCATTTCCAAACATTTTCAAAACATAAACTGATATTTTCATCAAATTATCGTGAATGTAAATTTATCTTTAAAGTTTGATTATAAACATTTTAGAACATTCTTGTTAATAATACAGGTTTCAAGATCAAGAAATAAACAACTGAGGGAGCTATTCAATGATGGCTTCTCCATACATCATGCTGGAATGCTTAGGCATGACAGGACAATGGTGGAGCGACTCTTTTCTGATGGTCATATTAAAGTACTCTGCTGTACAGCTACCCTGGCTTGGGGTGTTAACCTGCCTGCACATGCTGTTATTATAAAGGTAGGTATCAAATATGCGAGTTTCAAATGGCGAGCGGTAGCTGTGTCGTATGGAGTAGTTTGGAGTCATTCATAGCCACGCAAACAGTAGAAACAAACTTGAGTGATATGGCAAATCAAGTGGTCCTGCGGTAAGGCAGGAGCGCCACTAACAACAGCCTTAACATCAGCACTGGTTTAAGCTGCTGCTCGCCCAGTTTTCGATTGGTAGAACCAAGTCTTCTCGGATAAGGAAAAATGGAGGTCCAGTGTACACATCTTGCTCGTGTGCACTTCAAAGAACCCCTTACATCTTTTGGAGGAGTAGGGGTTTACCGCGATGCTATGGTTCATTTCATCCCTTGTCGTTGTGGAATGATGTGAACATGTAACTACTGTAAGTGCCTCTGTATGGTGGCTAGGTAGTCACTACCATGCCCATATGCAATTCACCACAATGACACTGCGAGTTATGTGTTATACGCCCTTCACCTTTTTATGAATGCATTTACTTGTCGATACCCTACTCTATACCCTCATCCACCTTTTGAAGTGGATCATGGTCAGTCATTCTAATCAAAGTTTTACAGTAACAATTCTGTGCAGTCGACAACTTTGAATCCGTTTATAATCATGTGTACAATTTTTGACACAATCTTCAAAGCATACTTAAGCGATTAAGTCATTTTTTTAACATTCTGCTACATTTATCTTTATTTTTTTTTTTCAGGGAACTCAGATCTATGATGCTCAGAAGGGTTCATTCAAAGACCTTGGAATTCTAGATGTCCTCCAGATCTTTGGACGTGCAGGGCGCCCTCAGTACGATACACATGGGGAAGGATTGATTATTACAACTCATGATAAGCTCACTCATTACCTGTCGTTGATGACGAGGCAGAACCCAATTGAAAGCCAATTTATTGAGAATCTTGCAGACAATCTGAATGCAGAGGTCAGGGATGGTGCCACTACAGTGTTAATGTCAATATTTATCATCATTATTTATAATCAAAGTCATCAATAGCAAAATCATCATCATATCAAATTTATTGTCATTATCTTCATAAAACTTTTCATCATTCATTGTCATTTTCATTAGTATTATTACAAGTCAACATATTTAGTTTTTTTCTCCCAGTCAAGAATAGAGACCTGTATTGTGCGCTATATAATTCACACTTATTATTATTAAGTTCCATGTTCTATTGAATTAAACCATTGACCAGTTAAGTAGTATTACAGCCATTACCTTCATCATTGATTCATTCATTCATAATCTTCATCATTATTATTATCATTATCATCATCCTCATCATCATTTTCATCATCGTCATCATTATTATAAGTATTGGTATTCATTTTCTACTGCTAGTGTTTCATCAGCTCTCTCTTTTTGTCATGTCGGATGTCCACTGACATACCCTGTGACTCCCACTTGGTTTTGACTTGCCCTGCTAACTCCCATGCCTCTTTCCCCTAATCCTTGGCCTGCTATTTTCCCCATTTACTATCCCTTTCTGTGCTACCACTTTGTGCTAAGTTTTGCAATGTTATTTGCCTTGCCTCTGCTCTGATGGTAATACAGAACAGTATATTATAAGCAAACACTTATTTAATTCCATACTGAAGTTATCAGCAGTATAACATATCTAAATTTGATTTCAGGTGGCTTTAGGAACGGTAACCAATGTGGATGAAGCTGTTAAGTGGTTGAGCTACACTTATCTGTTTGTAAGAATGTACATGAACCCGCTAGCATATGGACTCAACCATAAGGCAATGCAGGTAAGAAACAGGAAGCAAACAATATTTACAGTAAGTAGAATGCAGGTTTACCAATTATCTACCTTGCAACAAATGTGTTGAAAGGTATAAAGAAGTCATAGCATGACTCTATTTAAGACAATGTTGTTGCTTTCAAATTGATTTGACTGCAATTGGAAATTAAAATAAAAAGTACATTACATTCCTCAATTGGAATTGAAGAGTATCGGAGTACATGATTCCCTCCAATTAAAGACCACTTTTGGGACCGGGGTTTCCATGGACTGTAGCAGCTTTGGTCTCCGATTAGAATAGTAAAGATAAAAGACAGTTGTTCAATTGGGACCACAGAAAAGTTGTCTTTAATTGGAGGTGGTCTTTAGTTGGAGGGGTATTTAATTAAAGGGAGACCTGTAGAAGCAAACATATATGATATGTTTGTTACTATTATTTTATATTGTATAAATGTGTTGTACCAGTAAGTGCATATCTGTAATGAGATTAATATTTGTTTATAGTGTAATTGATCATTTTACAACCATTGATATATTTTTTTTGTGGTTTGTTGGCCTACATTTTAGTCACCAAACTACAGCTAGACTAACAAGTGCAATACCTCTTTCTTTGCTGTACCCTATATTTTAAAGTAAATTTTCGATATTATCCTTATTAGGATGATCCTGGACTTGAGAATCATCGTAGAGACCTAATCTGCGTGGCCGCAAAACAGCTTGATAAGACACACATGCTTCGATTTGATCAGCGTACTGGTTACTTAAACTCAACCGACTTAGGCCGGACTTCCAGTCATTTCTACATTAAGTGCGCCACAATTGAAAAGTTTAATGAGACCCTCCAGCCGCTAATGACAGAAGCTGATGTGTTTAATATGGTGTCACAAGCACAGGAGTTTGATCAGATTAAAGTGAGTTGCATTTTTGTTATTTTTTATCAGAAAATAGAATGATTAGAATTATCAAAGAGTTTGGAATTGCAAGAGGTTTGACTCTCCTTATTTTGCATGCATGCAATGAAACTAAAAGCGAAGTACTATCACGCCCTATTTGAATTTGAATAGGGTTTAAAACTCGAACATACTTTCCATAGAGGCAGCATACATTCAATGTGAATGACTTTTATGCATATATCTTTCTTTCTAAATGATGCCCTGTAGGTTGTGGTAGTACTTCTTGAAATAGAATTTTGTTTCAAAAAAACTCCAGTCAGACCTTTTGTACTCTCTTGAATTAACCTTCCCAAAGGTGTAAAGTCAGGGTTTCTGTATAAATTATCATAGGTCACTTCTATTTCCTATGAAGAAAACTTTTATGAACAGTGATCATTAGTAAATTTCATCAAAATTTTCAAGATGGTTTATTGGTTACTGCCTGATTGTGATTACTCTTAACTTCAATTTTTAAAATGTTTTTTAGGTACGAGATGATGAATTGAAGGAGCTTGACCGACACGTGCATGACAGCTGCGTTATGCCTGCAGCAGGTGGCGTAGAAAATGCCCACGGTAAAGTCAACGTACTTCTACAGGCATTTGTTTCAAGACAGTACCTGGACAGCTTCTCACTTGTATCTGATTCTTCTTACATTGCTCAGGTAAGAGACTTAAATTTTCCTGAACAGGGGTATCGTGCCTAATAAAAAAATTCCTTATTTGCATTATGTATGCCTAAAATTCAAATGTGGACTTGTCTATATGCGAATGTGCGCTATGATCCCACATTTAGATGCCAGTTGCATGTGGTGAATATGTAGTGACAGTGTTGGTAAATCTTGCTCTGTATTTAAATCCAAGTTCTGAAAGGCAGCCATTGCCAAAACGACTTATAACTTGTTAATATCTTTGCACATGCGCTCATTGTAATATACTTAAAATCTGAGTTTCCAAAATTTTTCCCCTCTGCAGAATGCTGCTAGGATAGTTCGAGCACTGTTTGAAGTTTGCCTTCGTCGAGGTTGGCCCTTGATGGCTTATCGTCTGTTGGTATTGTCTAAAACAGTTGATAAACGTCTTTGGCCTTGGGAGAATCCTCTTCGTCAATTTCCCATCCTCTCCAATGAAATTCTCAAAAAGTTAGAAGACAAGAACTTGACTATAGATCGAATCAAGGATATGGAACCGAATGAAGTTGGTATGTAAATGAAATTTTGGATCTAAAAATAGAATTGAATACAAAAATGAATTGCACAGGACAGAATATTTATGCCGGGTAAAATAATTTAATTTTCTATTCTAAATATGGTTAGTTTTCAATATGTAATGTGAATAATTTTTTTTAAAGCAAAAACATATCTAATAGCTTTCAATATATGTACCTAATAATTTACCTTTACTAATCACTGCTGGCTTGGGTCAGGCCTGACTTATCCTGAATTTCGATTTGTGGAATTTCTATTACAATTATGAACGCATACTCTTTGGTAGGTCATATGATTCACCATGTACGAATGGGAAAGATTGTGAAGCAGTGTGTTCAACAGATTCCATCCATTGCTCTTGACGCCTCGATCCAGCCAATCACAAGGTCTGTACTGCGTGTACAGCTGAAGATCACATCCGAGTTCCACTGGAATGATAAGGTGCATGGTACAAGCTCTGAGCCCTGGTGGATCTGGGTCGAGGATCCAGAAAACAATCATATTTATCATTCAGAATACTTCCTTTTTCATAAAAAACATGTAAGTGAATTGGAATCAGTTGTGTTGGTGTTGCTTAGGAAACAAAAAATGTAGTGATAGTTAATAATGATTTAATGTAAGTTGTATAGTAATTCTAATTATACTAATAAAAAAAATAATATCAATAATGATGACAAAGAAAATGATATCTAACATAATAAATGGATGTTTAAATAAATTCCTCAAAAATATAAATCTTTTCTTGAATAATTATTAATATTTTGTAAACATTCAATGGTTGATACAATGCTATGTTTATATTTAACTAGTATATTAAAATTGATTTAAAATAACAATTTTTCAATAGAGTAATCACATGTTGAAATTTTTCATTTTTCTATATATTAAGGGACAATGTATTTATTTGTGTGTTAAATAGCCATTTTATCCTCACCAAATAAATGTATCCTCACCAAGTAGATGCTTAAGTATATCTGCATACTGATTTTAATTTATGGCAGAGTGTCTTATTATGAATAAATAGGTTGTGAATGAAGAAGAACAGTCATTGGTGTTCACCATCCCAATCTTTGAGCCGCTCCCAACACAGTACTATGTAAAGGCGGTATCAGACAGATGGATAGGAGTTGAGACCGTCTGCCCAATGTCTTTCCAGCATCTCATCTTGCCAGAGAAACATCCACCTCATACAGGTAAGATGTAGCTTTCATTTTGATGGACAGCTCAATGCAAACTAATAGGAAATAAATGAGTTTACCTAAATTGATTATTCATAAATTAATACAATATATTATTGATAAGTGCCAAACTATTAGGTTCAGTAGTAGTGAAAGTAAATAAGGGTGGTATAAAATCTTGATAGATAAAATTAGTATTTATTCTTGCAGACTTATTGGACTTGAACCCATTGCCAATAACAGCACTGAGAAACCCAATGTATGAAGCATTGTACCCATATACCCACTTCAACCCTATACAGGTGTGTATGAAATTTTGTATGTACAAATGCTCATCTTTTTATTAATCTTTTTACACATATTTAAGGTATCTGTTGTATCCTGTCAGATTATTTTTACCCTTACATTTCAAGAGTCATGTATTTTGATAGGATAAGACAAGTGAATTTTTTTCTGTTGTTGTTGCTTTTGTTATTATTATTATTTGTAAAATTTTCTTGGATTGTAGACACAGGTATTTCATCCCGTCTACCACACAGACCACAATATACTACTCGGTGCTCCAACAGGCTCAGGAAAGACTGTTGCTGCTGAAATGGCAATGTTTAGAGTTTTTAATGAGTACCCAAAAACCAAGGTAAGTTTTTTATCTCCAGTTTTTTAGGATATGCTTTTTATTTGCACACATATCATCCTTTTCTTGACATGTTGAAAGGATCTTAAAAGCCATGTCAGCAGGGAGTAGCCCCTGACAGGTCTTAATAAGCCAAACAGTTCAAGTGCTATGGATCATTATTGCAGAAGTTACAAGGTACCAGAGAGCTGACATAGTTTGTAAGGAGCTCAAACCACTATTTCTGGTTAAGTTTACATTGTGCTAGCATTTGTGTTAACAATTCATTCCAAAATATGGTAGTAATCGGCACTAAACCATTTACCATGTGATGACGAAAAAAAAAAAAAAATGAATTATTTGTTTGTAGGTTGTTTACATTGCTCCACTCAAAGCTTTGGTAAGAGAAAGGATGGAGGATTGGAAAGTACGTCTTGAAAAAAAACTTGGCAAACGGTAAGTATTGATCTTATTTCATGATATAGATGTAAATCTTTGTCTACACTATCAAATTTCATCAAAAAAAGCAGCACATAAAATTTGATGGAACATAGAGTTGAACAACGTTCAACTTTTTATTTATACAATTTGATAGTATGTGATATGACATCATCGTACCCATATATGGGCACATCACACTTTATTGTCACATAAAATTTGATTTTAGACTTTGTAGACAAAGCTTTATGCTCTGTCCAGACTATCAAATTTTCTTTTGTGAAAAACATGCGACTTGGCTAAATATGGTCATGATGTCATCACATCATGACCATATATAGGCACATCATGACTATATATGGGCATACAACAGTTTTTTGTCAAAGAAAATTTGATAATCTGAACAGCGCTTAAAAATTACAAACATTCTACAAATGTATGTGAATGTGCAAAAGTAACCAACAAAAAGAAGTGTATTTTAATGATATTTTATTATTAATTCTATTATAATATTACCTATTTTTTTCTTTATGGCAGTGTGGTGGAACTGACTGGGGATGTGACCCCAGATATCAAAGCAATAGGCAGGTCGGATGTGATCATCACCACGCCAGAGAAGTGGGACGGCATTAGTCGTAGCTGGCAGAATCGTAATTATGTCAAAGCAGTGTCAGTCATTATCATTGATGAGATTCATCTTTTAGGTCAGTTATTATAACTCATTCTTACATTTCTACTATTAAAATCTTTTGAATATAAGCTATATGTGAAAGTTTCTTGTTTCGGGCTCTTTGGAGATTTTTTTTTATCTTGTGTATAGTCCAGCAGTTATGTCGAAAAAAATATGAAAGTTTGAGGATTTAGATCTTACCAACAACTATATATCTTATCATTTAAAGTATTTAAATGATAAGATATATAGTTGTTGGTAAGATCTAAAAAAAAAATCCTCAAATATATATCTTATCATTTAAAGTATTTTCCTTGTATTTTTTGTATGTCACTAAAAAATGTTTTGTTAATGCTGTGATTGATTTCAGGTGATGACCGTGGCCCAGTTCTTGAGGTCATCGTCTCTCGTACAAATTTCATCTCATCCCATATGGAAAGGAAAGTAAGAATCATTGGTCTGTCGACAGCTTTAGCAAATGCAAAGGACTTAGCTGATTGGCTGGGAATAACACAAGTAAGCCTCACTACTTTAAGCACTCTTCACACAACCAAACCAATGCTCCCCAATAAATTAACAAGTTGTTTAACATGCACACAAACCAGTGGTGGATCCAGGAATTTGAAATAGAGGGACCCAGGGAGGGGGAATTTTACAAATACAGGGTCCACCTGAGGAAAACAAATTATGATGATAGCACCTCTAGATAGCTGGTAATGGCATGCTCAGAGTTAAATTTGATTATAATTTTATTTATTTGTCCAATTTTTTTTTTTATAATTTTGAGCCGTGCCAACTCGCACCGCTCCCCCTTCAGTTCGCTACTGTAGACCTTCATGCATGCAGCATCAACAGCTTAAACACATCTTTTAAAAGATGGTGTGCTATAGTAACTTATATTTCAGCACTGCAGCTGAAGAACAAAGAGAGCAGAAATAGAATTGAACCACAGACCTAAAGGGTCTCCATGGTTGAGTGCACACACAGTGTCTACCACCAGTTTAACTATGTTTTAACTGTATACTTATTAAACCATGATTAAACTATGCTGCTTGTGGAGAGAACTAGTTATTAAACCCTGTCCACACTATCAAATTGTCCTTGACAAAAAACTGTTGTATGCCCATATATAGTCATGATGTGCCTATACATGGTGATGATGTCATGCCTTTATTACCATATTTAGGCATGTCACATGTTTTTTGTGAAATACAATTTGCTAGTCTGGACAGGGCTTAGGAGATCTTTATTCATTTATATTTAAAAAAAAATAACTTCTTTATTTTCTGATGTGTAGCATTAATCATATGGTTTAGCCAGCAGTTCACACATACAATCATGCTATGTAATGATCTCACTAACATATTACAATTTGTCATTTATAGCTAGGCTTATTCAATTTCCGTCCATCAGTTCGTCCGGTTCCACTTGAGGCACATATTGAAGGGTTCCCAGGAAAACACTACTGCCCTCGTATGGCCACTATGAACAAACCAACATTTAAAGGTAAGTAGCTCTATAATGATAATGGAGTATACCTTTAAGGACTGAATTCTTTTTCAGAACCTGTATTACGAGTGTAGAAGCTTGGTGTGAGTTCGATACCAACAGTGTTCACAATTCTTATGTTCTTGAATGAGACTTTTGCTGTAATTGTGCACACTATGAATGCCACAAATGTATCAGACTACTTACTAAAAACAAATCATATCTTAATAATAATAATAGTGTAGTTTTATATAGCGCACAAATCCATCTAATGTAAGATGCTCAGGGCGCTTGAAATGTGGACTAGGAACTCGATCAATGACTTTCTTCGCCCCTAAGGGTCCCTTCGTGTCTGTGCTACCCGGTAACCCGGTACCAGCAACTCTCGTCGTCCACCACAGGGGCTGTCTGTTCCAGTACACCGGGGTATCCCGGGGTATCCCCCTACTCTTCTCGAAGGATGTACAGGGTTCTTTATAGTGCACACGAGCCATTGAATACACTGGGCCTACGGTTTATAGTCCTTATCCGAGAAGACTTGTTCTACCACCAGAACCATAGGCGAGTGTGCCGTTCGAACCAGCGCCGATATTATGGCTATAGCTTGCGGCGCCCCTGCTAACCGCTCGGCCATTCGACTCACCGGTATTCAATATGTGTAATTATTAAATATGAAAGGAAAAGCTCTACTAATTAAGAAGTTACTGATTTTCATATACTTTTAGCAATCAAAACCCACTCTCCTACCAAACCAACATTAATATTTGTGTCGTCACGAAGACAGACACGGTTGACTGCTTTAGATCTGATTGCTTACTTAGCAACGGATGAAAATTCAAAGCAATGGCTTCACATGCCTGAAAATGAGGTAAGCGCCATCAACTTTCACAACTTATAATTATAGTTGAATGGGTTCAATTTTAAGTACATCATGGCCTGTAAATAACCTTGGCCCAATTTATACTCCAACCTAGTTTTTTTGAATTACTATAATAATAATAATGATGATATAATAATGGTATTGATAATAAAAATAGTAGTATATCAGAAGATAATTATAACCAAAAGTCATTATAGAATGTAGAATGTACATAGGGGTAAAAATATATATTTGTTTGTCTATAACTTTTTAGTGTTGGTCTGTTTTTTCACTTGAGTGGTGCCTTATAAATACAATAGTTGATGGAATAAGTTATAATACTTTGATCAGTAGAGATTCAATAGTGCCTTGATAAACACACACAATGATTCAGCAGGTAACCGATGCATAATATTGATGATGTGCATATTAACGCGCATAAATGACGTACCTTTTTCAGTGGCAAAATAAAAATCAAATATTTTTTACATAGACTATGGTGTTATTTCCCTATTTATGCTCCATCTTTTTGGATAACTGATTAATCATATTTTTTAAAAATTTCTTAATAATATTTAGGGTCCTATGTTAAAGTATTAATTAACTTTAATTTGATATCTAATTTATCCTAGCTTTTTGAATAAATATTTTATTAAAATTTAGGAATTTCTTAATAATATTTAGGATCATAAAGTAAAGTATGATTAATTTGCTTTAATTTGATATCTAACTCAATGATATTGATTTTTAATATACAAAAAAAAAAGAAAAAAAACCCAGCTAAGACTTTATAACCGCACTTTATTCCCTGTTTTACATGATTATGCAATCTGATCTGATGAAGTCATGATAGTAATCCTAATAATTAACTGCTTTGTAAATGTCTTAAGGATTGTAATCACTCGCGACCCTGTTAAAAAATTCCACTAGGTAGGTTGATTATGAGATTTTGGGATTAAGTTGATGACTGAATCTCTACACCAAAGTAAGAAAATAGAATGATCATGTAGAATGTGTTTTCCCACACATACTAATCAAGATAAGTGCATGACAAAATATTTCGAAGGAAGTGTACTGCATTTAGAGTACTGAAATCAAATACTTTCATTTGGAGGCCTATTTAGTTATTTTTGACTCGGTACCAAATTTATATTTATTAGGATTTGTTATTAATTAGGTAAACAAAAATGCAAGTTGGAACAGTAGACACAGTCGGTGGTCAGAGTCATGTAGCGCTGTTGAATAAAGGACAAAATATAGAATAATAATGATATTTTGGTATTTATAGACTGCTATTATACTGTATATATAATGAAATAAGTTAATTGTGCTTTTGTTGATTTAGATGGAATCTATAATTAGTGGAATCAAAGATCATAACTTAAAACTAACATTGGCTTTTGGCATTGGTATGCATCATGCCGGGCTCCATGATAGGGATAGAAAGACTGTTGAGGAGCTGTTTGTTAACATGAAAATACAGGTATGATAATAACATATTTTATTATGATAACTAAGCCTTGTTAATTATAGACATTACTGCCACCAACCATCATCATGATCCTTTTCCTAATCATTGTACACATCTCGATCAATTTTTTGGTTCGTAATTAGGCCAAAAAAAAATTGTTTGTGTGCCCTCCAGCGCCTGCCCCTAACTCACAAAAAAATAGGGGCAGCGTTTTTAAAAAAGGTTTTCTTTTTTTCAATTTTTTGAAAAAGTGATCTTTATTTTTCTCCATTTTGCACATGAAGTTGTCTGTCTGATGTAAGGTATCGCCATTCTAGGCTTAAATTCTTTGCAAATATTGATTATGGGTTATTCTTATTCAGTCTCCCTTTTAAAAAGCAAATAGTGAGACAGGCCTAATTGCAAGCATTGCAATTTAATGTGTTATTTTTGGTGACAGGAGAAAAGAAAAACTAAAAAAAAACCTTTTTGCGCCCGGCCCTCCTATACTTTTTTTTAGTATTAAAGGGCAAACAAACAAGTAATTTTTTTAGGCTTTATGATCATCATTATCACCATTATCATCATCATCATCATCATCATCATTCTTGTCATCATGAATTTAGGATCATAATAATCAGTGTCATCATTATCAACATCCTTACCATCCTCCTCCTCATCATCATTATTATCACCATCACCATTGTCATCATTACAACAGCGTCATTATTATTATTATTATCTTTATTATCATCTTCATTAGCATCACCATTATCATAATCACCATCAACAACATTATCATTCTTTATCATCATCACCATGCATCATATTGATGACATCATCATCAACATCATTATCATAATCATCACCATTACCATAGTACTAGCATTAGTAAATGAATTGGGAAGTGTTCCTATCTTGAATATTTTTATCTCAAAGGTTTTGATTGCAACAAGCACTTTGGCTTGGGGTGTTAACTTCCCTGCTCACCTGGTAGTGATTAAGGGTACAGAGTTCTTTGATGGCAAGACAAAGCGTTATGTTGATTTCCCAATTACAGGTAATTAATGTCAATCAAATAAATTCAGTACGTAAGCAACTTTGAATTTCTGTGTGTTATTTTTAGATTTAGCAAAATGGAAGTTTCTTAATAATTTAGTGCTTGCATATCAAACACCTGTGGGGCACTTAACAATACAATAACAAAATGTTTAAACATTTTGAAAGTAATAAGTTGTGTGGCTGGATTTCTCTTTGTGATAATGATTGTGTTATAAGAACTAATAACCAGCTGCAACATTGTGAAACCCCCCCCGCCCACCTCGAAAAACAATTTAAATAATGTATTCTTAACGTCAGGTTTCCTCCATTTGTAGCAATCATTTGATTAATATATATATAATTTCTTTGTTCATATTTCTAAGAATATTTCATTATTGTATGATGTAAGTACTTGTTTGAAAGTTGATGATAATGAGATTAGATAGACAAGTTTCAGTAGGCATTACAACTCTTTTATTGTTAATGTCTAGATGTTCTTCAGATGATGGGTCGTGCAGGACGACCTCAGTTTGACGATCAGGGTGTTGCCGTGATTCTAGTACACGACATCAAGAAACATTATTACAAGAAATTTCTTTATGAACCTTTCCCTGTTGAATCTAAGTGAGTATCCACTTCGTCTTAAATATTGATTTTTGAATTAATGTTTACACATTTATATTCCTGATAAGATCTAAAGAAATTAAGTATATAATATCTATGATGAAATCTAAAAACTAAATTGGTAAAATGTAATTAAAAATTAAGAAAGCCCATAAACATAAGTGTAATACAAGTGTATAAGGCGAGATATTTTTTATACCTTGTTTCCCGCGATGATGCCGCCCGCCAATAATGGTGATTTCAAATAAAAATAAAATTTTATTTTTGGCCAATTAGCGCACCCGCCACCACGAAAAACTAGATATTTCAGGAAAAAAAAAAAAAATAAATGTTTCTCTTTATTTTCATTGTGTCCGCCGCTGCCTTGAAATTTCCAAAAATAAAATAAGTATATATCTTCCTACTTAAGTAAATTTAAAGCATTTACCCATCTCATTATTACACTGTTTACATTCAACAATATTGTTTTTTCCTCCATCTGGATGTTTTTGGCAAAACTATGTGCTAAATAAGAAAACAAAAATAATTTGAAAAACAAGGAATAAAAAAAGTGTAGCCTAATGAAAATACATACTGTTCATGTTACATTGTAATTGAAAATTACAATACAAATTATCTTTGCTGATTTTAATCTGTAAATAAATTCCTATTCTATAGTTTGTTGGATGTACTACCAGAACATTTAAATGCAGAGATTGTTGCAGGAACAATCACATCTAAACAAGATGCCATGGATTACATAACATGGACGTACTTTTTCAGACGACTATTAATGAACCCCAGGTAGCTCATATCCTCCTGACCTTCGCAATAAGTTTTAATATTACCTTTGACCTTTCACATACACATGAGCAAGTAAAACTACAAGATGGCATATTGTAAATTATTTATAATATAATATTAATAATAATACTTATAACTATACTTATAACTATATTATAATATGTCTCGAAGAGGAAGGCTGTCCTCTCTTAACCTTTTATGATGGCATTGTTTTTACAAGCTGGTTGCCTAAAGAATTGAATAAAGTTGGGTGCTGTTGACACGAACGAAACAAAATGAAATGCTTGCACTTAGCACTAAAACATAGCTTGAGCCACTTCACAGCCTGTGAATAATAAAGTTCATTGCAGTTAAATGCTTTTTTTTTTTTTTTTTTCAGTTTTTATCAGCTGGATAAGACAGACCATGCCACAATTAACAAGTACCTTTCCCACCTTGTAGAGCGGTCTTTGATTGATCTTGAGTTGTCCTATTGTGTTCTTGTCGGTGAGGTAAATATAATAATCTAATACAGTATTAAACATAGTACAATACCTTAACATATAAGGAGGAATAAAGTAGAGCAAAAAGTAGCAATTTAAAACTAGTTGAGATTGTTATTAACACAGGCTCTGTGTACCCAGTACACCTCTTCAGATGAAGAGATGTACTCTGTATCTTCTGCATCTTCATCTCCCGCCCTAGTATAGTGTAAATTCTACTCTAGGTCCTCTGAATCGAGAGATGTATAGGCCTAGGTCTATTGTATTTTGTTGACTACTAAGATTTAACAACAAATCTGCTTTATGCTATTTTATGAATTAATTATAACCACGGAGTCACGAACAAGAACGATATCTCGGGGAGCCGAATCGCAAGTACTGTATTTGCAGAGCCACATGCATGCATTTTCCAGCGTGGTATGAATATGTTTTTAACACAACATATGCATGAAATTTTCACCGGGTAAGACAATGGTTTAGCCTTACCTTTTTGGGAATTCCACCGAATGTTGGTATGAAAATAACGTAAATTCAATCAATAAAGGTTGTTTATCAAACATAAATATGCTTTAGTTTAATGCAACATTTGATAGACTTGAAGAATATAAAGAATTTGCTAAAGGTAGACCAGGCCCAACTAAGCTAGGCCGAGCTGAGTAGGCCAAACCGTCCAAGCCGTCACAGTAAAAGTGGCTGTCCTAAACAATTGTTGGCTGTCTGAAAGACGGCCAGACAGCTCGCTAGCTAAGCCCTTGTTGTTAGCACAAGTTTAATAAAAATTGATATTATTATTATTAATAATAATAATAATTGATAATAATAATAATAATCATTCAATCATTTTATACTATATATCTCTAACATTATTATTATTATTATTACTATTAGTATTATTATTATTTTTTTTTTACATATAATACTCTCCAGCTATGCATTAAAATCAATCAATATGGCTAGAGAGTCAAGCCAGCTCCACCAATCAACATCACAGATATACATAAAATTGTTAGAACAATATCCATGGCCTTACAGTAACGCTTGCTGTGCTATAATGAAGAGATATGTGATTTTAACATGGCTGACCATGCAGTAATAAAGTTAGTTCAATTATCAGTTGTAACCTTGGAAGCCATGTAACAATTGTGTGGATAAATAATAAATGAAGTTAGTTGTGTGATTTGTTAAACTTCGTTTATTGAGTATAACTCAAAAACGGTATACGGACATAAACCACCCAGGACATAAACCACCCAGGACATAAACCACCCAATTGGAATATACCATTGTTAAAGTGGGTGGGCAACAGGGTGAACAATGTTGGGTGGTCTTGCTTTTATCT